GCACTCCTCATAAACTCATGTTTTTGTCTTAATAAGTAGGATTTTTCTGTATGAAGCCTTGTTTTAGTAAAAATAAAGCTGAGGAAGACCCTCCCTGTTCTCGCCCATAAAGCTCTGATTGGTCGGTTGTTTCCAACTAGGGAAACAGACGTCAAAGAGACAAAATGTCTGGAAGCAGGCAGAGCTACTTTGTGCTGTGTTGTATATACATGACACACACACACATTATTAACAAAGAGTGAGAATGTGCTTTCATGTCCAACCTGTTCATTATTAATCAGAATCATATCAAATCAGAATAATTTAATAATCCCAGGGGCAAACACACAAAAAAAAACAAAAAAACAAACAAAACAAAAAAAAAAAGAAAAAAAACAAAAAAACGCAAAAAAAATTTAGTTCATAATATCATTCATATATATATATATATATATATATATATATATATATATATACAGCTTATTCATTAATCAGGAGTTCTGATTAGTTATAGCGTTAGTCATTGGCTGACATCACACTGCATAGCTGAGGATAATCAAGACGGTGACCAATATATGTCTCTGTGAGTAAGAGACATTGTACCCAATGAATGACCATAAATAATAATAATAAAAACTGATAATGACCACAATCTACAGCAGCAGTCTTTAACACTGTTAAAAAAAAAAAAACTGGATCCAGCTCATCGTTTTTTACTCCCACTGTCATAAAAGCAACGGTATAAATAAACGTGTTTCATATTAATCATGTTCATTTGTTGTTTCAGAGTGGCTGTTACAACTATGTGAGTGTGGCAGGGGCTCTGAGGAGTGTGTATGAGACGGAGGGAGTCAGGGCTCTGTTCTCAGGGCTGACTGCCACACTGCTGCGAGACGCTCCCTTCTCCGGCATCTACGTCATGTTCTACAGCCAGGCCAAGAAGGGACTGCCTCAAGGTGAGACCTGCACTGCATCAGCAAATCAAAATGTGAAGTACTAATGGCTATAGATCTGATGAGCAGAGGGTGGCTCGAGTGTTGTCCTTGTACGACCGTGTAGTGAATGGTTAAGTGCCTCCAGAAGGGGCTTGTAGTGCTTGTATGTCTTAAACCTAAAAGTATCTTTATGTGCTCAGATGGCCAGCAACACACAGTGCGTTTCCATCCACATGTTTTTATGTTAATTTCCAATTAATAAATCAAAAATACTGGAAATGTGAATTAATTCATATTTTCCTTTGCAGATTTTTGTCTGCAAATTCTGTGAATATTTGCACTAGATTTGGATATAAACTTGATTTAATGTTTATATTCATTTCAGTGACTAGAACTCCACTCTGTGTGGATGTGAGATCAATATGAGATTGTTCTTTATGCAGAAGCTTTTTCCTGTGTATCTTTTTACAGTAGAGCCCAATAAATATATTGGCCAGGCCGATATATTATTTATATATATATATAATTATCTTTTTGCAAAAATGTCAACTAGCATGTTTCCTAAAATGCTTGTTCATATCACATGTTTAAAAATATGTTGTTTCTTACATTCCTTTTAACTCTTAAATATTGGTATCAGCCTCTAATATGCAGCACTGGTCAGGCTGTAATAAGCAGCAAATTGTGCCTCAGAACAGACCTGTGGTTTCTGACCTTTTTCCTTAAGGGACCCATTTTCTATCATTTCATAAACTGACGACCCCTGACTGAAGGGACATATTTTATGGATTTATATAATGATTACATTCAAAACTGTACAATGAACTCAAATAGTCAACACAACAACTGCAAGAAGTTTGTGTAAAACAAGTGATTTGGATGATTTTTTCCTATTTAGGGAACTTTTTATACAATTCTCTGTCTGTATGATGTTTTTAATCATTTTTAACAATCACACACACACACACATACAATTGACAAATTCAGTGTTTTCTTGTCTTTGGCACTTTGTTATTGTTAGATTAGACAATTTCCTTAACAAATTACTTTACATTTCTCCACATAAGTGAACCAAATGCTGAGCTATAGGCTCTTCCTGTGTATATTTTTAAAGGTTGTTTACAGGTTGGGAATCACTGCAATAGACGATATACTCTTCTATTTTCTCTTGATACCTGACTTCTCTTCTCTCAGAGGTTGCTTCGTCAGTCTACGCCCCGCTGGCGAACTTCAGCTGTGGGGTGGTGGCAGGCATCATGGCGTCGCTGGCCACACAGCCTGCTGACGTGGTGAAAACCCACATTCAGATCAGCCCATCCCAGTGGAGGACGTCAGATGCTGTTCGCTACATCTACATGGTGCGTGTTTGCTTTTCTCTTATTGCATGTGTAGGTCACTTTCAGGGAGAAGAGGTGCTAGCAACGCTCATTCTTGTGGGCGAAAAGCGTAACATGAACAGCGACGTATCATACTGAACGTTCTTGCTCTGTACTCTCCCTCAGGAACATGGCATGAAGGGCTTTTTTCGCGGGGCGGTACCCAGGTCCCTCCGACGCACTCTGATGGCTGCTATGGCTTGGACTGTCTATGAGCAGCTGATGGCTCGAATGGGCCTCAAATCCTGAAGAGCGACCGTCTTGAGCCACAATAAAACAGGACGACACACGAGGGGTCAATGATATACAGTATGTTTCTCACTGAAAGAAGAAAAGGAAGTCGAGGAGCGTGTAGAGACCGTGAACCAGCACTACCAAGATTTTGAAAAGAGGAAGGAGGGGGATAAATGTCTGGGGGGAAAAAAAGAGAGTGAGAACGCTGTGTGTGATTCTTTGTGGATATTTAAATGTTTGTGAAAATGTGCCTGTTTGTGTCTGTAGGTGTGTGAGTTTGAGATTGTGATGTTACAACTGACACATTCTTATGTCAATCTTGGACTGAAGTGACACTCCCTGCTGTGAAGTGAAGTCAACTTGTTCCTCCTCTCACTACTTACGTTTTGGCACCACTGAGGTACGGCTGCCACAGAAAAATAAAAAAACACTGCCCCCCCGACAGAGGGCCCGTTACTGTGCAGCTTAGATGCCTTTGACAAGGTATTTTAAAATGCTGGCAAGACAAATGGGAAACTCAGCAAGCTGGTGTACCGTACATCTGCTGAGGTAACCAAAAACAAAGCACTGCAGCGAGAGGAGCTCTGGCTTCTGCCGTATTTATGAAACTTGCGTAAGCTTGGGCAATGTCTCTTACTTGCCAATTAACAACCAGACTTTGATACTTAATTTGTTTCAGGCTCAGACAATCACAAGCACTTACACAGCTGCATTATGGGAAGAAATTCACAATAAGCCTTTGTTGCCATACTGCTCACAACTATGCTAATTTAAAGTTTATATACCGCTGTGGTGCATTTACTCAGCATCGTGGAACCGGACGTACTTTTTAAAAAGAAGTAATGATAGTCACATCTGTGCTTAAAGAAACACAGCTGAAAAGAACCTGTGATGGCATCTGAGTCAGATCAGGATTTTATGGATTTTTATGAGTTTTGCAATTGAAATGCTTTTTTTTGCAGTGCAATTTGCATTGTCTCCTGCGCCTTTATCATTTGGGTTATTTTACTACGCATTTAAGAAAATATTTTAATCAAAGGATGAAATTGCAATCTTACAAATATGTCACATTTTGTTCCTGTGATTGAATGAGTAGCCTGTGAGCATATTTCATGAACATTAAGCTTGCAAGGGAAGCATTGCTTAATCATTGTGCTACTATGTTTATAAATGTTATACAGTATCCATGTCATTGCGGGACAGCTGTGGACACTTTCCAGCCTCTTCCTGGCTTTGTAAATATTTCGACACCCGCTTAGTGATGTGAACTTTCTAGACTACTTTCTAGGCCAGAAGGTGGATCTCAATACAGAATTGTTGGCTGTAACTAATTGAGGCCATATTTTTATGTTGCTTGTACAGTGTGCTCTTTGCTATAAATAGTATTTATTATTGTTGATATAAAAAAGAGGTGATATATTGAGAATAGTTGTTATATATAAGTGTTTAAAGGAATAATGCCAAATGGAAGATCTCGTAGGTGGAGGAGATTGAAATACTTGGATCATTCTGCATTCAGAGTGTAAACGCACTGAACCTTTTGGTAACGTAACAAAAAGGTCAACACTGACCAGTGTGGCCGGTGATATAACAGGAAGGTTGTGTAGCCAAAACAGAAATTTAATGACATGAGTTGATTTCTAAATGCCTCAGTGTTTGCTGTGTAACACAAACTGTGTCTCTGACTAAATGTGCCGTAATCCACACCTGGAAGTTTTTACCTCGTCCATTATCTTAATCACCACACAACTCCTGTAGTCTCTGTTGATCCTGTGTTGACTATATTGTATATGGTCATTGTTATTGTAGATATTTGGTCTGTGCATGCGTTTGCTCAGACAGATGCTGTGCCTGCCTGGTTTTTAACGTCAATAAATTTCTCTTTTTAAAAAAAAAAAAAAAAAAAAAAAAATTTTTATTGTAAATTTTCCTTTATTTCTTTATACCAGCAGTACATATACAATCAACCATGTTATCAACAAACTCATTAAACATATGGTGCTACTATTGTCAGAGAGCCACTAGATATGACCAGCCACTATAAGCACAATATATTACAACATAATTTATGGAATAAAGCAACAGTTTTCAACATTTAATGAGCTCTAAAAAGGTCTTCTACACCAGTGGTTGCCTACCCAGTCCTCAACTTCATGTAGACCTGTTTCTGCTGCTCATCCCGTCAGCATTAAAACCGTCATCAGAGAAAGCGTGATAAAGTAGAGCTGCAAGTTCTACTGTCCTGCATGTTAATGACTGGGTTGGGAACCGCTGTTCTACACTGTAGGAAGGTTGTAATTAAAGAAACAGATTTAATGTCCAATTTTAATAAGCTTTCTATTTTTTCAGCATTTGATTAAATTTGTTATAAATGAACATAAAGTTAACTTAAAGCTAAAATCAAAACACTCTCTTTACTTTGTCATGATAGTACAAATGGCACTAATAATTAGAAATATTTGAACAAAACTGATATTTTAAAGCATCCTGTAAAACAAGGTGATTAACATTTGGACTGAGCAAAACATAACATTATACCTTTCCAGCAAGAGTAGATGTTGATTAAAATAACAATGAGATTTAATAGCAGATGAAGTGGAGGCTGTCCTCACAGTCCCAGTTCTCCCACTGTCCCCCTTTGGTTAAAGCTCCACAGCGTTTCATTCTTGGACACTGGTAGTCCTCTTCTCCTCCTTCTGCCCAGTTCTCATACACCAGAGGGTCTCCGTCCACCCACAGCCAGCGGTCCCCCAGGAAACGCAGCCCGATCCACACCCGCTCAGTGATGTCGTCGTGCTGGATCTTTCTCAGCGCCTGAAGGTCCTCGGTCTCAGAGACGAGGCTTGTGAGTGTAGTGTGTTCCTGACTGCAGTGTAACAGTGCATGCTCCCAGGTCTTCTTTTCTTCCACCAGGTTGAAGTTGAAGCAAAAAAAAGGCAGATTGTGAGATGGCCAGATGTTATACAACCCAGGCACTCTATGCTGCCCCTTCCAATTGCAGTCTTGCCAACAAACGACAGCAACAGTTCGGTACGAATTCCCATCTGGTTCATTCGCAGCCCACGGTACATATGTTGCATTTTCTCCTCCTGACCACTTCCACTGTCTTCCATCTAGGTAGAGACCAACCCAGACCAATTTACTGATGCTTCCTGCTGCGTCTTTCAGCCTCTCTACATGCCACCATGAAGAAACAGAGGAAAGATCAGTGTGGTGGGCTCTGCAGTGCTGTTGAGCCAAATTCCATGTTAACGGTTGTGGCACTAATACATGCTTTCCAAACTGCGCCGACACACTCACAAGTATTACGAGTATGTTTAAGACCACAAATTCCATGGTGGTGAAGTTTACAGATGATTGTTAGGATGAATATAAAACAAATGGTCTGTTCATGGTGAAGCCTGTGTTTCAATGTGGTCCCTCCTCTATTGTCTCTTCACAGTGAACAAAACACTGACGAAGGGTTTGTAGCCATCAGGCAGGTCATCAGTTTTGCCTTGGAAATTTACTCTAATTTGACCATGTGAAAGGTTTTGTGAAGCTCTTTGTTTAAACAATCCTTCGTCACTTAAACATGAACTCGACTAATACAACTATTGCTGTATGAATATGTGTCTGTGTGTGTGCGTGTGAATGTGTGGTATTGCTCTTTTACATCGCCTTGTGCCAAAACTAAATAAATGTCAAGAGAAACAAGATAGGTGATGTTTGTTCTACTTAATATCTCAATTCTTCTTCATTTCCTCAGTACAACAAAAGTTTCATAATGCAGCCAAGTAAAATAATCCAGTTTTGAGGCAACTGAGGCAAGCATTTCAGTGTGTATGGTACTGCTGTAGTTGATTACAAAATCCATTGATTGCCTCTTATTGAATTAGATCATCGGACTTCAAAGCACCTGGCATTAAAGCAAGCAGGAGTATGAGTTCCAGTTACACCTCACCGTTTCCACACAAATCCTCAAAAGTGAGTGGATCCTCAAAACCTGGAAAGCAGGTTAAAGTTGGGACAGAATACAATCATTAAATGGATTATTGACCATAAAAAGCTGGCACAATATGCCATAATAACCAGAACAGGGCAGTGGTTTATTCTAGCTTCATTTCAGAAATATAATAAACCATTACATAGTTTTTACCACATTTGCAAGGGATTTAGCTGAAGTCAGTCAAGCCTCCATACATTTTCCTAAACAAAGTTTGCCTGTAGGAAGTTTATTTCCATTTGACCTTAAGAAACAATAGGTGAAAACAAGTCCTGTTTGAATCATATCCTGACTGCCTTTTCACTTTAAAACAACTTCCAGAACTTCAATGAATTGCATTGTGTAGTCTTTTGGCAAAATAGAGAAGTATTGTGTTGCATGCAAAGCTGTTACCTACTTGATTATGTGATGCAAGAGGACCAACAGAGAATAAAAAGCCTGATGGATTGATGGGTCAGGTGTAAGGCTCCTACAGACAGACCTATAGGCCTATTGGCCACCAGTTTCTCCATAGCACAATTTGTGGTAACAGCTGTTCAAAATTGGTTAAGTGACAATTAAATTCCTAATCTCCTTACAGAATCTGATGGGTGCCCAGAAACCAGGGATTCAACATGACTAAGAGTCTATAGCCGTGCTAGCAGCTGTACTGAGGCACAGCAGTGTTTTCAGCTAAATGCTAACGTCAGCATGCTCAAAATGACAATGCTTAACATGGTGATTTTTAGCAGGTCAATGGTTAATCATGTTCATTTTAGTTTAGTTTGTTAGCATGCTAACATTTTCTAATTAGCACTAAACACAAACAGCTGAGGCTGATGGGAACATATTGCAAGAATTTGTTAGAGGACAAAGTAAAGTTTTGACCTAATGGTGGCACAAGAGGAAGAACCTAAAAACAACACTGTAAACATAACACGATTAAAAAAGGATCAAGAAATTATTGTAATCTAAAATAAGAATTCAAACTAGACCGTGTGAAAGTAAAACTGAACTACAGCTTCATGTCTAGATTGAAAAAAACAACCTATAAATGAAAAGTAATTTAAATGCAGTGTAGAAAAGGCCCAGAAGGTGTATAATGGGGTGTGCACAGATTGAAAAGTAAGGCCCTTTTGCTACCTGACCTGCTCCACCGCCACAATCCATCCCGTAGCCTCCGCTCATCTGATGCCAACCTCCTGACTCCACCACCCCTGACCCATCACTGATATACTATATATACCACTGATCTTTCATGCCTGCGGCTCAGATACGTATCACTTGAGTGCAGGGCAGGTAGAGCTTATCGATAATGATGCTGCAAATGAACAGCCATTTGTGTTTGACTAGGAGCGGGGGTCAGAGTTTCCTGGGTTGAGAATTGCAATGTAAAATAATTGCAAAAGGTTTGAGTATTTCCTATGTTGTTATGATCAACTTCTTCAAATATTTCCATGTGTTAGACATCATTGGAAAGCTTAGAAACTACACTTTCAGAATCTGTAAATAACTCAAAATGCCTCTCGGGAGACTTGTTGCTGGTTTTCTCGTGGCTGGTCACATATATATATATATATATATACATATGAAACAGCTATTTATTTATTTATTCATAGAAACATCTGGCACTTTGGGCAGCTGTGCTTTAGAGCATGTTTTATACGTTTCATTACAACATACTATATTATACATCTGCTGTGTGCATTGATGGTCCGATGGTCCGATGGTACCTGACAGGCTCCACACTCTGAATGAGCCCTGACCTATCCGGAAGTAAAGCTCACCATAAATGTGACCTCACTTCCTCCAGCGTCCTCTTTACACCATGAGGTGCAGACCTGCAGACGCGCTGCAGACCCGCGGACTTCTACACGACGGTGCCTCGTGGTGAGAAATAAACGTGATCTTTTATTTTATTTTATTTTATTTTATTTTATTTTATTTATACTGTGAGTAACGCTATCAATGTGCTGCGGGGTACATGACTGAGACGACCCTCATTATTGGAATAGAGAACATGCTCTTTGGCGGTCTGTGCATACTTATAATTGTATTAACGGGGTTAATTAGTGTATTTAAGTTGAATAGTAATAAAACACCATGCATACACATAAAAAGTGTATTTTTGTAAGTTAGTGAGAAGTTTGTTCTCGTTTAAGATTTAAAATGTCCGGTTGAGGTAGTGGAGGGGGAGGAGGTAATGACACAAAAAAGCCTGACTCTTTCAGTTATTGAGAGGGGGCAGTAATGTGAGATATTTTAACATCAGGTAACTTCCTTCAACTGTAGCACAGGGCTGAGTTGAAACATTCAAACCTCTCGTCTTATTGAGCTATAAGTGACTGTTTTAAGTTGTGACTACTGTACAGTATGTGATAACTCTGTTCCCATTTTGGCCGCTCTGTATTTAAATAGAGAAAATGTTTCCAGTTCTGGTTAAAGAAAAGTCAGCGTGTCTGTTCAGTATTGAACTATTGATCACATTAGGAGCCTTTCATTGATATCTGACTACATTCTCTTTCAGCTCTCCAACTAAACTCATGATGCAGAGAAAGTGGTCTGGATGTGCTGCAGATGATGATGATGGAGGATGATGTGCTGAAGTTCCTTAAAGCAGGAACCCACTTGTGAGGAATCTGGACTTCCAGATGGAGCAGTACGTCTACAAAGAAGAAGCCTTGAAGGTGAGTTGGATGTCTTTATATTATACATTTCATCTGTTCCTTTGTCTTTACAAATGCCAGAATAAATAAGCAACAATTGAATCTTTCTTCACTTTTCAACAATTTTACTCTTATTTTAGTATTTTTAAAGTTCCTGCTGCAGATGGACACAGTTCATTGTATTAGAAAAGGCTTGGCCTTGGACAGCTCACTCTCCATTACCAACTACATTATTACAGATGTCTGTTACAACTCTGTGCAGAAAGTAATTTGACTTCTATCTTTCCTTCTCCAGGTGTCTAAACTACAAACCTGAGTGCTGACAGCCAGCGCCACGTTTGTCAACTCCTCCAGGAACAAACAGGTCTGTTAATGGAAGAAGCTGCTCCACATCTGAGGGGCTACACCCTCTCACAATATCTCCTGTGTATTAATATGAAGCATATTGCACTAAACGTGCAGCACACCATTAAAGCCTGGCACTGTTCTTGTCGGTGTTTAGGTGTCGGAAGTGTGCCAGAGTGATCCGGCCGGGTTTTCGCTAACACCATTAGGACTTCTGTCCCATGACTGGGGTTTGATAGCAACCTGAGCCACACTTGAACATTAAATACTGAAGCACCTTGTTTCTCTCATACTCCACTAATTCAGTGCCTTCTGCAGGCTCCGTTGCACTAAATGCTATGACCTTTTTCTTAGCCATATGTGTTCCTTCGAAGCAAATGGCAGCAGGTTTTCATGTGGAACCCACAAAGCACTGCCCCGGGTTGCTTCAGTTGTACTGAAGTCAGTGAATCAGCAGATTCTTCAGTGCCGGGATTAGACCCATGTGCAGGCGCACTGTTGGCTGTGAGCTTTGCTGGTGTTCTTTTGTAGGGGGGAAAAAAGATGAGGGAGGCAGAAATTACAGCTGAAGATGAGTCCCCTGTGGCTGTTCACAACATTTTAGATCAGCTGATTAAAAGCCTCTTCATGTGTCATAATTGCTGTGTTGAGCTCGTGGATGGCCCAACTAAATAGGAAGCTGCTGGTCAGTGAGGCGACCAGGTTTGTGCACCTGGTCGAATATTACTTGAGCTTCAGCCTGTTTATAGCACAGTTCTTGTCAATGCTCTGTGAACTGTGACACATTTCCAGTGTCAGACACACAGGAACATTGGCTCACTTGTTTACAAACCAGTGACACTCCGACCAGGTGCCATCTCTCATAAGTATTACATGTGTCAGCTCCTACCTGCCTTTTTTACTGTCCCATGACTCAATTTGATGCTGTGTAGGAAAGTAAAAACACCCATTTGTCTGTTTGATTAGCGTTATCTGTGGGTCATATGCGGTGGATGTCGGTCAGAGAGGTGTCGAGGATGAGGGGAACGATCTCCAGGGAACAACCCTGCAAAGTCAAAGCCTGATGTGTATTTCTAAAGAGCCAGAGGAGGTGAGTGGTGCAAAAAAAAGCAGTGTGCCATTAGATGCAGTGCCTCTTTACTAGCTTGGTGGGGCTTCATGTTTTGACAAACTCAGGTCTCAATTAGACAGCTGGTGTGAATTTTATAGAAGTTCTTTTGAGGTCTAAAACCTCTGAAACCCACCAGGTCGCCTGCTTGAGCGAGTTCTAAGATACTTGATCACCTACAAATACAAATGTTTAAACTTGTCAGTATGAACGCTGCACATCGTTAGTTATATTCTCTTCAATTCATTTTATAGAAAGAATGAATGAGCACCAAAAATATCAAATTAATGATTCATAATTTATTTTAATAGCAAAATCTTTGCCACTACAGCTAAAAAAGACATAGGAAAACAAACCTTTGATCATCTGATTCACTTCCTCAGTACATACACGGTGGTTGTTGCTGCTTTCGAGTTGTAGGATCCTACAATCTTGTATAAAAAATAGGTGGGGGTTTTGAAGCACTGACAGACTATTTCTCACCGTTTCCTCTTGTTCCCACAGAACTGCAGTGCCCAGACTGCCACTGAAGACTGGTCTCCAGCTCCCACTGGCTGGTGTTCTATCTGAAGTCAGCTACTGTGCAGAAATGCACAACACTATAAGCCAAGAAATCAATAAAGTTGGATGGTTTTCTTAAAACGGTTTCCCATTTCTTTTTGATATAAATCATGTATGTACAAAGGTGCAATATAGTTAAGATATCAAATGTGTCTGTAGGTTCAGTGGAACATACTGCAGCATTAATATCCTCAGCTAGTTTGCAACAACAGTCCACACCTCTTTAATACAAGTTCAGAACACATTCTAGAAAATACAATGGGTGTAAAAATATGAACTTAATGAGAAGCACTTGATAATTCATTACTACATCTGTGAGCCCCCCTCAAAAATTCTGCTTTAATTTTCAATGACCTGTGTTGTGATCCATGTTGAGGGCTGTGTGTAAGGACAGAACTTACCCACTTGATTGCTAATTTTATGTGCAGCGGAGTGAACACGTCATGCCACCTTATAAGAAACCAGTGCCATTGTTAATGTCCACAAGTTACAGTATACATTTATAGTTAGTCAAACTTATTGTACTAAAGTACTCAAATCTGTGCAAAATGGCCTCTACAATATGTTTTATCACTTCTGTGTAAACATTTGTTTACTAATGCCAAAAGTTGACAAACAACTTAAGTATTTATTTGTACCTGTAAAATTGCACCAAAGCAGCAACACCCATTTTAACCAGACAGGTCAGAAAATTAAAATGTACACAAAGTGCTGATGTGTAGCAAATTATAAACGCATAACAAGTTGTATTGTTGGCACATCATCCCATGTAACATTGTTGGGGAACTACTGTAATTCAGACACATGCAGCAATCTCCATCAAAGGGGTTCGTTTATTATTGTCATTGATCATTGTGCTTTAAAATGTTCCACCCCAGATGGGACTCGAACCCACAATCCCTGGCTTAGGAGGCCAGTGCCTTATCCATTAGGCCACTGGGGCAATTATAAGTGCAAATATCGAGAATATAATATTTATATAAAAACTGTATGACGACGAACTTGTTATATATGTACTGATGAACATAACTGATGTACGGACGTATGTCCTGGTTGCGTTTTATATTAGAAATATATTCAGTTTTGCGTGCTGCAGCCATGTCTCTCTGTTCCGTTGCTAGGCAACAAAGAGCACATCATTGAGTCAAGTTCAGCACAGAACAGTCGAGCTGTTTCCTGTCCAGCCCCAAACTATTTTCGACTAAAAAATAAATGTCACTCGAGATCATTATCCAAAACGGTTGCAATGTCGGAGCATCTCCGTCAATTTCCATCTCCAACCTGTGGTTCGGCTCGCTCACAGGTTTTCAGAAGGGGTTACAGGAATACTTCACCCCGAACAATGACTTTAACTGCCCCACTAGATTTTTTAGCTCATTTGCGTGTGCCTTTAATTTGAAAATATGAGAGCGGAAGGACGAATCTATGCCGCTGGTGAACTGTTAGCTAGCTAACATTACCAAGACCGTACATAGCAACATTCACCTCCAGATAGTGTAAGAAAACACTTGTTAAACTGTAATTTTACCACGACCACGGTAGTCGTATGAGTTCACGTCAGTAGGTAGTTAAACTAGGTTGCTAAAACTAACGTTTGGTAGTGAACGTAACGGCTGACCGTTAGTTTTTCCACTGATAGAAACACCAACGTTACTTAGTGATAAACAAGAGTTAGCTACGTTAACTACCTCTTCAACAAACATGGTGAGTCTTGTGCATCCCCGACGCCAGGACCATTATACTGCTAATGCAGTCTCATAATGAGTCCTATTTCTGAAAGTGTTGTGCATGTTGGACCCCAGCCGACTCCAACTTGTGTGATAACTTGATAAAAACATCAGATTTTTTGTACATTTGTTAGATCCTGTCTCGCGTGAAGCCAGCCGTGGGAGCAGAGACACCGACGAGCATCAGTGAGAAAAAGAAGAAGAACAAGACCAAGGTTCCCCGTCTGGAGGAGTACCTGCAACAGAGAGACTACCTTGGGGCCCTGACACTGTTGGAGGTACTTACACACATATGTAAAGCTTAGTCCAGGTCAGGGTTTAATAAAGTTCAGTAGAAGGGTTAGAGAGCTCATGCTAACATGCATTAATGGATCTGAAGTCACTGAATCTTTCAGCTGTTTGCAGAGGTATAAAAAATCACAAGAGGCTAAAAAATAAAAATAATAATGTGTCACGTTATTATAACACAACACAACACACACACACACACACACACACACACA